TCTATGGTCTGGGACTGACTCTGGCTGGCTTCAGCAGAAAGTGCTGGCCTGGCTCATTCACCAGTTCACACCCTGAGTTTTCCCTTCCAGCTGGCAATGGCCCTTCACGCCCTCGACCCTGACTGGCTCTTCCACTGGCCCCCTGAATGCCCCAGAGGGGCCCAAACGGTTAAGCCCCCAAGAGTGCCTGACCCCAGCCTCTATCTCCCTCCGTGTGCCCCACCCTCCCCGGCAGGCACAGCTCCCAGGAGGCCATGGGAGGACAGCTCCAGGCTGTGGGGAGCAGGCCTGGTTTTGGAAAGAAACTGCCCAGCTGGGACAATGCTGCCCACCCCGCCCAGGCTGGCCTCAGCCCGGGCAGGGATGAGGCTGGGCTCCGCCCGGGTAGGGATGAGGCTGGCCTCCGTCTGGGCAGGGATGAGGCTGTGTTCTGCCTGGACAGGGATGAGGCTGGGCTCTGCCTGGACACGGATGAGGCTGGGCTCCTCCTGGGCAGGGATGAGGCTGGGCTCTGCCCGGGCAGGGTTGAGGTTTGACTCTGCAGGGCCAGCATGTCCCCTCGTTTGTCAGGGAGTTTGGGCAGACGCCGCCCCTGAGCTCCCCTGGCTGCTGTGGCTGGGACTGGGAGCACAGCCTTGGAAGACACCACCACTGACCCCTGCTGCTTTCTTCCTGCCCACCACCCATCACACCCACCCACCCTCACCCAACTCTGCTGCTTAACAATTAAACTGAGGCTCGGAGAGGAGCGGTACCTTGGCCCTTGCTGCAGGAGGAAACAACTGTGGCCTAGTCCAACTCAGGCTCTGCTGGGCAGCTCTGTGGGCAGCAGCCTGTCCCCTCCGGGCAGAGCAGAGATGGGACCCCCTTCGAGGATGCTCCTCTGCTCTGCCTTCATCCAACATGCATTTATCGAACACCTACTATGTGCCAAATCAGGATGCTTCTCTCCAGGCCGGTGTCCCTGGACAATGGACCGCACACGCTGCACCTCGGTTTCCACAGCCCTGAAATAGGGAAATGAGTCGGCTTGAGGAGGTGTCAGGAGGATTCAGGGAAGCAGAACATCTGTGCCCGGAAAATGATACTTCCCATCCAGAGGCCTTGGCTTCCTTGTCTGTAACGTGGGGACTTAAACCCCATGAGGTCGCCGCAAATGAGCCCTCAACTGATGCTCACCAGTGATGCTTGGGGCCTTCTCGCTTCCTGGGTGATGAGCAAGAAATCACCTGCTTAGACTCTGTTTCTAGTATAGAGGCCCGGCTTCCACCCGCTCCCCAGCAGACAGAGATCCCGGCTGGCCTTCCCAGGCCATGCACTGTGGTGGGATTGAGGGGATGCTTGGACAGCTCTGCATCCCACCTGGGGTCCTGGGCGAAGGGGAGCATTATTCCCAAGAAGGTGAGGGTCCCCTTCACGGGTCTCCCTGAATATCCAGTACCCGCCGCAGGTGGGTCCCGCCGGCCGGCCGACCTTTGATCGTGCATTCGTGTGTTTTCAATGGCATGCGATGGCGCTCCTGGGTGGTCTTGTCCTTCAGCACCCCGGGAGAACAGTGAGCCCCTTCCCCTCCCACAGTCTAGGGGGCGTCCTCCCCTTCCTGGACCCTCTGCCCCAAGTCCTCCCTCCATCTTTACCAATATGGCCTCCTGCGACAGGGGCTGCAATGCAACTTTAGCGAGCGCCCCACTGCATGCTACGGGCTGTTTTCATACAGGACCTCAGGCCATTCTCATAAGAAATCTAGACACATTGATTTATTCCCCCATTTTTGGAGGTGCCAACATGTCTCAAAGAATTCATCCCTGAGGGAGTGGTGGGAGGGTGGGGACCCTGGGAGCCTGTCCTGTAAAAATTGGGTGGGGATAATGACCCTTCCTATTCTCTCAGGGTCCTGATGTGTGCAGCTTTCCCTGCACAGTTAATTCCTGCTCCAGCCAGGCCCTGGACGCATAAAATCCTTCATGACTTCTGCCCACCTTCATGCCCCCGGAGGCCGGGGCCGGGAAAAAAAAAGAAGGGCCCGCCCTTTCCCGAAACCGAAAGAACCCCCGGGGCCCTTAACGGGAAGAAGAACCAAGGAAGAAAGGAAGCCAGCCAACAAGCAAGCCGCCCGCAACCAATTGGGGGAAGGAACCCTTGGGGGCAAGGGGCCAAAAACCAAAAAACAACAAGGGGGCCAGCAGTGCAGGGGTGAGGGTGGCCCTTACTCCTTACACGAAGGTTAAGCGCCTTCTCCAGGCCTCAGATTGCCCGGCCAAGAGATAGGAGCGCTGTCCATCCGGGAGCCTTGAACGAGCCTATCTCTGCAGGGTGTCAAGCCCTTCACCCCGGCTGTCACGAGCATTGGTTAGGCCCCAGAGATGACCCAGCCTTCATCCCCCCACGCCACAGGTGGGGCATTTTATCCCAGAAGGATAATGGCAGAATTCACAGCCAGGTGCTATAACCTTTTAAGTTATTTTTAAAGCATCAGAACAGTTCCTCCAGCCCCCCTGGTTCACAGTGCTGCATCTTCAGACAGCTGCCCAATCCCAGTGGCATACAAATAATTGAAACTGCAGAAGAGGGAGCACGCCGGCAGGTCAGAATCAAAGTCCCGCTGCAGGGGTCTGTGCGGGAGCCGCCCTGCTGGGGTGTCCCATAGCCACAGGCTCAGCTTTCGGCCACCCTGTCCTTCCCGGATAACTGTTTTGTCCACATCTGCCCAAAGGACACCTCTAACCTAGCCAGAGGCACCTTTTGGGACACTTTCCTGAAACCAGTCACTTTCACTTGCCTCCCTTTCCCCACAGTGCAGCCTCAGAGCAGGGAGGGGTCCCCAGGTCCTGGGCTTGGGCGAGAGGTGGAGTGGGGGCTCCCAGAGCCTTCCCCGGCTGCATGGCTCCACTCTCACAGCATGGCCCATTTTTTCCTCATTACCTGCAAAGTAATATCTAGGCCCCTTCGGCACGTCTTTCCTAAGACCCAGAATTAACTAGATGGCAGCTATTTCTCGTAGTATCGGCTGAGGGTTTAGGTTTCATAAAAGGCAGGGCTTCAGGGACATGGAGGGGGTTAATTAATCAACCAAACCAGCCTCTCTGCTCTGCCCCAGCTCAGAACAGCGGGGAGACTGAGGCCTCCCGGGGGTCTCTGCAGCCAACGGAGCCCCAGTGCCATGTTTCTGTGCAGAGCCTCACAGCTCCAGAGCCGCCAGCCCGGGTTCCAATGCCGGCCCCTCCAGGAGGTGGCCTGAAGCTGTGCTGCCCTAGGCAAGTCCCTTGCCTCAGCCTCAGTTTCCTTGTCTGTGAAAGGGGGCTTTGGCGAGGAGGAAATGGGGGAATACAAGGTCGCACCTGGGCCTGGCCTGCAGTGGGTGCTCCGTATACACCAGTGGCTGCTGCCGCCGTGCCTTTCATGATGCCACAGGTCACAGGAGAGAGTGAGGATGCTCTCAGGGATCCAGAAGTTTCCCCTAAAAAGGCATTTCTTAAGTGAGAGAAGACCCTCAGATGCTGTTGAAAAGAACAGTGCACCAGGCACTGTCTGGACAGCGATGCTGAAGGAAGATCCCAGTGTGTTGAGTTGGAGCTCTCCAGTGTTGAGGCCATCCAAGTGGCATCCATCAGGAGACAGACGGCAAGTGAGACCCTCATCCCAATCACAGGTGCCCTGGAGCCAAGATCTCTCACAGCCGGGGCCACCATGCAGGCCCACAGGATTCCTCTGTTGGAAACAGCGCCTGCAGAAGCGGGCGGACGCGGCAGAGTCACAGTCGTACCTGGGGACCTTCCCCTGTCCTTGGTGGGTGTTGCCACTAGCAGCTAGGAGGGGTCTCAGGCCGAGAGCTCAAGCCCCATTTCCCCACTCCTCTGAGAAAGAATGGCCTGGGGCTCCTGACCCCCATGCGCAGAGAAGAAAGCAGATGGGATTGTGAGCCCAGAACCAGGGGCCCGGCTGGAAGGAAGGCCTGGCAGCGACGTGGCAGGAATGCGGGATGGAACCAGCCTGGCTGCTCCCTCGACGAGCGGGCCTTATGGGAGCACAGGGAGGCAGGGTCCCTGGGGGAAGGTCCAGGCAGACAGAGGGAGGCCCCATGCTCAGCCTGCAGAGGCCTAGGGTTTCATCAAACAAAGACAATAGTGCCTGCCTCTTGGGACTGTTCCGGAGAGTGGAGGCAAACGCAAGGTCACAGATGTAATTCAAGCATGGACCGCCGCAGGCTCGCCTGGCTCAGAGGTGCCCCGTGGAGCCGAATCTTCAGATATCAGCCTCAGACACTCAGACCCAGCTGTCATGTCCTCAGAAATACCCTACAAAACCTTTCTCAACACCGCCCTAGAATGGGATTGTCCTTTCAGCTCATGATGGGCCACCCCCAAGTATCCAGCCCCAGTTGGGGGTGCTCAGACGGGGACCAGACTGGAGCAGCGTGCATCACCTCCCCCACCCAGATGCTTGGCCTCTGGTAACATGGCCAGAGCACCACAAGCTGGACTGGAGAAGGCCCAGGGAAGAGCAGGCTGGGCCCACCTTCTAGGTGGTCTTTGGAGCCTAAGTGTGTGGTACTGAGGGATGGAGTGGAAGGCACTCAGGCAGCAGCCCTCCCAGAGAGGGATAAAGCAGGGCACCTGAGTGCCATTCTGAGTGATGGGCACACAGCAATGACTGCTGACTGCAAGGAGGGAGAAGGAACAGCACAAACAAGCTGTGTGACCTTGGGCAAGTTACTCAACCTCCCTGTGCCTCGGCTTTCTATTCTGTAAAACACAGGTGGACCTGGCCTACCAGGCTGTGCATGCATAGCTTCCAGCACACATGGGTGCACCCTAAGTGGCCAGCCTCCCTATTCTCTCTTCCGCCACTTCCCCCACCCACCTAGGCTGTGATGGGTCAACCTTGCTCATCCCGTGGGCTCTGAGCTGGGCCTGCTGACTCGTTATTTCTCTGAGTCGTCACCTGTACTAGGGAGCAAACGCCCTGTGGCCCAGCGATGGAAAGCTGGGTTTCTGCAGCGCGGAACCCTCACACGGTCAGGCTGGGGGAAAACCAGGGAGAAGCCAGACAGCCGCAGATGCAGCCACCTGACCACAGATCATTCCGCAAAACATAATGCAAGGACCAGTGTGGGGGCTGTGGAAGGGCTCCCAACCCTGCTGTGGACCTGGGCCTCCTTCCCTGTCTGTCAACATGGGCCATGGTGGGTCAACCGCAGCGACTCAGGCAGTGCAGCTGACAAGTCATAGATCACATGTGATAGTTGTGGGAATATTCGTGCCAAAGCCCACGGAGTACCTGTGCAGGGCCAGGCTCGGTGCCCGGGGCAGCCTCGCTCTGATCCCCAGCAAGGGCAGGAGAGGGGTCTCTGTGCTCATGGTACAGGCAGGAACAGAGTCCAGAGGGGACATGATTTGCACAGTAGACAAGGTCTAATGAAGGTGATTTTCTCTCTCTTCCCTCCTCTTCCCGCCACAGGGTCTTTGGCCACATCAGCTTCCGCTCCGACTGGGAGCTGGTCAAGGTGGACTTCCGGCCCTCATTCTCCAGGCAGTGTGGCGAGGAAGACTACAGCTCCTGGGACCTCTCCAACCTGCAGGTGGGCCGGGATGAGGGTGGGATCGGGCAGGTGGGGTGCACACTGCAAGTGCAGGCCCATTCTGCCTGCCAAAGTCCTCCCCTGCAAGGCCGCAGGGCACCTCCCCGCCTCCAATAAGTCTTCCGGGAATCCCCAGCACCTTTAGATATCCAGGCCTCCTGTGGGCTTTTCTAGACCCGTCTCGGTCATGGAGCTACCTGGGCTGAGGGTCCTTAGCCACACCCGGGGAGTGTGGGGCCACAGGCTCTACCCCAGCCCGTGGAGTTCAGGGTGCTTGGGGTTCAGGATGTTCAGATCTTAGGAAGGTAACACAGGCCTGTGCCATACACGACAGTGGGGTCTGGGTGTGGAGTGGGGTCTGGGGCGAGGCCACCCTGTAATCGAGACACACAACTGTTTCTACAGCAAATGTGTAATATGGACACTAAGCTGAGTATAAAGGCCATCAGTGCCCCCTCTGTAATTCCAATCAGGCTGTGCTGCTGGCGGTGTGGTGGGGAAGCCTGGGATTTCAGAGTGCGGGGGCCTGGAACTGCTGGGGGGTGGGTGGCCCTGATGAAGAAATGACTTAATGGCACTTGTTAAAGCGCGGGGTGGAAGACTTTACTCAGGGCCATCACGGTGGGTACAGGGACCCTCTCAAAGGAGAGACTGGGCTCAACTTGAATTCAGCGTGGGCAAATGGGAGTTCAGAGCCAAGGTCAGTGGGTAGAAACTGACTAAGAGGAAACAGCAGGCATCAGAGGATTTGACATCACCTGGGGGGCAGCAGGGGATGAGGAAGGCTGTCGGATAGGGAGGGTGATTGGATATCGAGGGTGGGCGGTGCTTGCCAAACTGCCTTAGCAGGGTGCATTGCTGAAGCTGGATTTCACAAGGAAGTGCTCAGATGGGCCCAGGAGGAGGTTTAGGAGCCTGAATACAGGCCACCGGGCATCCTCACCGGCCCCGCCCCTATTACTGCCACAGCAGCTGTTGCAGGGAGATGGGGTGGGCCTGTCCCATCCTGATTGTCCCCTGAGGACCCACTGTGTGCTGTGAGCCCTCAAGGCCGTGGCTCGGCCCAGCTCCCGCACAGCACCTGAGGGGACAAGGGGAACCTTAAAGGGGCTGTACTTCCAGCAGCTCTGCGACCCTTCGGGCCCAGCTAGGGCTGCACACAGGAGGGGCTCAGTGAATGCCCGTGGGTTGGGATGAGAGGGAGGCTTCCCCAACTTGACCACAGACATGCCACGCCTCATTCGGGGCCTCCGTTTCCCCATCTGTAACCTGAGCCCTCAGCCATCTTCAGGCTCTGGCAGGCTCAGCAGCACAAGCCCACGCAGAGCAGTTGACCCGTCTCTGGCAGCTCCTCACCCTGATGTTCCTGCTGCAGGGCGACCGCTGCATCATGGGCCAGCAGAGAAGTTTCCGGAAGAGAAAGTCCACGTCCTGGTGCATCAAGGGGAGGAGCTTCACCTCGGCGCTCACGTCCCGCGTGTGCGAGTGCCGGGACTCAGACTTCCTGTGGTGAGCCACGGGCTCCTCCCTGCGGGGCCTCAGGTGCTGCTTGAGCATCCTCACGGCATGGCGGCCGCTTCCCCCAGCATGAGGGAGGAAGCCTCAGCGCCTTCTATAACCTGGCATGAGAGTCGCACACCGCACGTCTGCCTCATTCTATCTGTTAGAACCGAGTCACCAACACCAGCCCACACCCCAGGAAGGAGCTTTAAGGAATTTGTGGTGCATTTTTAAACCCTCTCAGTGGCTGCTCACAGGCAGGAGGAGAAAGTGAGGAACAGGTCGGGGCGTTTTGGGGACATGCTGCACCTACCTCTGCCCTTCTCCATCCAGGGACTCTGCTGAAAGCCACCCGACCTGTCCCTGTTGTTCTCAAAAGCTGCCTATGACTGCCCAGTGCCCACAAGACAATTTGGCTGACAGCTCACCCAACTGCCACCCACCTCACCCCTCCTCATCCTGCCCCCTGGCATTCCAGCCTCCTCCACCTGTACTGGTGCTGCTCAGGCTGGGCCCTGCCAGCAGTGCCTCTCCCTCTCTTTCCCTACCTGTCTCTGTCCATCCTTTGAGATTTGCTCACCTCCTCCAGGCAGCCCTCCAGGTTTCTCTGAGTTCCCAGCATCCCTTTGCCTCCCTTGTTACCCTGTGTTGCCCTCTGGGATGGGGCTGTGGGTGCTCCTTCCTGTCCTCACAGATGGGTGCATAGCAGGCCCTTGGCATGAGGTTCCCTTCCCAGCTCCCCCAGATTCCACCCCAACCCTGGCTGACTCCCTGTCACCTACCACTGTTCTTCCCTCCTCCCAGCGACTACGGATTTGAGCGCTCCCCCTCCTCAGAGTCCAACACCAACAAGTGCTCTGCCAACTTCTGGTTTAATCCATTGTCCCCGCCTGACGACTGTGCCCTGGGCCAGACCTACACCAGCAGCCTTGGGTGAGTGTGGGTGCGGGCCTCTCCTTGCCTAAATCTGGGGGCAGAGCTGCGGTGCAGTCCCGAAACCATGCTGGTGCCTGCAGCTCCCAAGTGGAGTCAGGGAAAGAGAGGTCAAAGGTGAGGATGCCCCGCACTCACAGCACAGAACCTGGCTGCGGGGCTCATGTGAGTCACCAGACATCATGAGTGAACGACCTTAGCTCCCAGGCCAAAGGAGCCCATAGGGTTCTCCCATCTGAGCCCATGTGGGCCAGTGCCAGGAGAAAGCTGCCTTGAGTTGGCTCTGGATAGAGAACAATAGACAGAAAAGGTCCAAGGCACCCGTGGCTCACACCTGCTGCAGCACGTCTTCCCCTGGCCTTTCTGAGCCTCTGCAGTGCTAGGACCCTTCCCCATTTACCAGTGCCCAGTAAACCAGGCCCTCCCCATTCACCAAGGCTTGGGTGCTGGAGGTGCTCCTGCTGCCTGCAGGTCTCAGCTTAAATGGCACTTCCTCCAGGAAGCCTTCCCTGACCACCCACCCCTGACCCCGAGCTTGCCTCTGTCACAGCACAAATCCCAGTTGTTGTCATCACTCACCTAATTGTCCTCCTTGCTGAACTGTAAGCTCCACAACACACAGTAGGTATTCCTTCAGTCTGTGGTATGCTGAGTACAAGCTGTGCATGAAGGGACAGCATCACCAAATGCAAGCAGTTACGATACTTTTCCTCCACCAGAGGCTGGGCATATTGCTATGAAGGATTCAGTTCATGTAAAATGTTAGGTACATAAGAGCTGTGAGCCTTCATCTTTAGGAGGTCCCAAACATGCTCCATCCAGAAGTTCCAATTTCCCCATTTCTCTTTGAGAACATTTTCAGAGAGGAAGAGAAAAGCCCATGGACTTGTCAGAAAATCCCCATTACTTCCCCTCAGGGAACATGAGGAAACAGGAGGTAGGACCAGAAATTGCAGGCTTTGGCCTCACCAGCATATCTGCTGCCGTCCACCCACCCGTCCATGCATCACTCATTCATCCCCCATCTACCCATTTATCCACCCATCATCCAGTTAGCCATCATCTGTTCATTCATCCATTCATTCATCCATCCATTCATTCATCCATCCATTCATTCATCCATCCATTCATTCATCCATCCATCTTTCCATTCATCCTTCCATTCTCCCAGGCATTCAACTACTGCCCATGCACCCCTCTATCCATCCATGTACCCATCCATCCATTCATCTATCCATCCACCATCCATCTATTCATTCACCATCCATCAATCCATCCATCCATCCATTCACCTATCCCTCTATCTACCCATCAATTCATCCCCTGTTCACCCGCCCATCCATCCATCATCCATTCATCCATCTACCCATCCATCTATCCATCCACCATCTATCTATTCATTCACTCACCATCCATCAATCCATCAATCTACTTCTCTATCCATCTGTCTACCCATGCACCCAGGTATCATGAAGCTGCAGTGGTTGCACAGCCACCAGGGCTTGACAACGGGGACTCTTGTCTGAAGTGTCAGGGCCAGGACCTTGATCAAGGCAAAGGATTTCACCTCATACCATCTGCACACTGTAGGTGCCATGGATGGGTAGCCCTTAGAGAAGGGTATTTTCTTTCAAAGCACTAATCAAATGGGCTTGTGCATGATCAACTTCTGAATGCTTATTTAACGGCAGAGCCATCTGGAAGAATTGGGCCCTGAGGGCAAGAGGGGGATCAGCCTTGGGGAGACAGGTACCCCCAGCACCTTGTCAGCAACGCCGCTTTCACAGGTTCATAGTGTAGCCTGAGGGAGCTTCACAAGTAGCAAGCTGGATGAGGCCACCCCTTTTTGGGGTGCCCAGGGCCCCTCTCCAGCCTCATGCCACACCTGCTCCCCCTCCAGGCTCAGCACCCCCTCTAGTGCCTTTGCACATGCTGTTTCAATGGCCTGGGATGCTCTTTCTTCTCCTGCTCACCCTCCCAGTCTCAGCTGAAAGCCCCTTTGTTAGGGACTAGGTCCCCAGGGGTGCCCCAGCCAGCGCCATCACAGCTATGGTTTCACTCTGACGTGATCGGCTCAGGTCCGCCTCTGCGTCTCCACTACAGGGTCTGCTCTGCACAGCATCTAGGGGCTGCATGCAAACACCCCCATTCCCAGTACCTGGCCCATCACAGATGCTCATAAATAGATGTCTCATGAATGCAGCGATGAGTCACAAATCGCCCAATCCAGGTCTCTCAAGGGAACAGGGAGACGGAGCCCAGGAGGAGGGGTGTGTGTGCCCATGGTTATGGCCACACTGTGAAACAGTGGCGAGTGGAGGCAGGACCCCAGCCCCTCTCGGGCACTCTGTCCTCCACCTTTCGCAGAAAAACCATGAAATTCCAGCTGGCTGCTTAAACACCCCGTCTGCAGCACTAACAGGGCCATTACTATTACTGTGAGTAGTGTGATCAGACCACGGAGATGCCAGCACCTCCGAAGCACATCCTGCCACCATCAGTCCCTCCTCCTCTGAGCCTCAGTGTTCTCATCTCTGAAACGGGGCTGTAACAGCAATTGGGTGGAGTCCGGAGGTGGCTGGGAGTCAGCAAGTAGAGCCCTACGGGTGGGAAGCCAAACGCCACCTGTGGGTGGCAAGCACGTCCCTCCCCAGATTATGGGGCCCCATCCTTCACCACCTGTCTGAAGTGGACCCTGACCCTCTCTTGTCAATCCAGGTACCGGAAAGTGGTGTCCAACGTGTGTGAGGGTGGGGTGGACCTGCAGCAGAGTCCGGCGCAGCTGCAGTGCCCCCTCACGCCGCCCCGGGGCCTGCAGGTCAGCATTCAAGGCGAGGCGGTGGCCGTGCGGCCTGGAGAGGACGTGCTGTTTGTGGTGCGGCAGGAGCAGGTGAGTGAGCACCTCCCAGCGGGCTCCCAGGACTGTTGGGCAGGGGCGGCTCCAACTGGGCACGCAGAGGGCATGGTGAAGGGTGTCTCCTCCGCCTCGAAGTGGCTCAGGGCATCGCCATCAGCCAGCCTGTCCAGACTGCAGGAGGCAGCAGGGGGTTGGACACCTGGGTCCAGACCAGCATTTACCAGTGAAAGAGACACGGAGGAGAATAGAGTAGGGTGTAGGGGGTATCAGGGTCTCCACAGAGCAGAAGGAGACGTCGTTTCACACATCGGGGGAGCGTGTGTGGTTACTGGCCTTGGTATAAAATGTATTCATTCCCGTGGGTGGCAATACATTTTTTAAGCCTGTAATTATATCGATTTAGTTAATTTGGGATCTTATGAAAAACAGAAAGTTAAAAACACTATTACTTATAATTACACAACCAAAAATAAATCCTGTGTATGCGTGGACAGCTACAGATATAAATACTCACACAAACACAGATAGAAATTTCCTCCTAGCCTCCCAGGCTTGCTTTTTTTGCTTTAGAACAAGTGTTATATTTTCTTCTGGCGTTAAAAATAATGAATGTTCATTGTAGAACATTTGGAAAACACACACAAAATATCAAGAGTATAAATATCTCTCCAAAGCCCCCCAGTCCTCCATGGTAACAACTGTTAGGTTTTTGTATTTCCTTCTAGTCTTTTTAAATTAATTTGTAACATGCTTATTTTTCTGATGGTTGAATAAACTAATGCTCATTGTAGCAAATTCAAAAACAAAACCTAGAAAAATTTACAAGCATTGCAGAAAATTCAAGATGACAGAAAAGGGCAAAGGAGAGTTCGATGCCTCCGTGTCGCACCCGGAGGGTGAGTGCCTAGGACCCTGGGCGCTCTCCTGGCACGCAGCTTTCCTGGGCACTTGGTTCTTTGATGAACAGTATGGGGGATGAAGCAAGTGCAGCTTCACAATGATGTGTGTCCTGTTTAAATGTCCTTCAAAATAGGTGGGGTGGGATGTTGGTGACAAAGGTCTTTGGAGCTGGAAAGCAGGGAGCCTGGTCTAATGCAAACAGGGAAACTGAGGCCCAGGAGGACGCAGAGCGGTGCTTGCCGAGCACCTCCATGGCGGGCGCTGTGCACCAGCCACTGCCTGTACTCCTGGCACCACCTCAAGTGGCATCCTCTTGCCAACCTGCTTTATAGCTAGGGAAACTGAGGCTCGGACAGCGCAGCCACTCTCCCAAGGCCACACGGGAATGAGTGGCAGGGCTGGCATTGGGGTCCCTGGCCCCAAGACTCTATGTGGACAGAGACCGATTCTGGGGGCCCCCAGACCTGAGCCGTTCCCTGGTGCAAGTGCGGCTGCTGATGGAGATGGGCCCTGGGACCCACACTCCTCGGAGCCAGGGGCAGCCCTGGGGTGCCTCTGTTCCCAGCAGTATCTTGGGTAGGCAGGAGAACAGAGCTGCTGCCCCGCCTGTCCCGCCTGGACCCTCAGAGTGGACTCCGCTGCGGCTGCCCGTCCAGGGCCGACATCCAGGAAAAATGGCCCTCTGCTGCCCCCTAGAGCCTGGCGTCTCCACAGTGCAGTCGCATCTGCAGTCTCTCTGTGGGAGCCAGTCTACCACCTGCCCAGGGGGCCCGGACCCTTGCTGGGATGCTCTGCGGGCAGGAGCTGGAGTTGGTGGAAGCGAGGAGAGTGATCAAAAGATGCTCCTGGTGGGGAGAGCCAACCCCCACCCCACCGTGCACCTACTGTCAGGAAGAGGCCACCCGCTACGCTAGGGAAACGGGTGGGAGTGTGGGATCCAGGGTGGACGTACACACTCACTGGTACACACGCTCACACATACACACAAACTCACACGCAGACACACATACGCTTACACGCTCATGTATTCACTCTCAAACTCGCAGACAGATTTGTACACACTCAAACATACACTCACACACATAGGCCAACCTACTCTTTCAAACAGCACTGGGTTTAGGGGAGTCTGAGTTTTATAAATACCTTAAGAATTAAAAAGAAGGTCTGATAGAGGCCCCAGGAATAAACCCATGTAAATATGTCCGAGGGATGTCTGATGTCAGTGCGAAAACAACTCACTGAGGGGAGGGCTTATTCATCCAATAATAATGAACCTCAACCTCAACCTCACGCTCGACAGAAAAATGAACTCAAAATTGCCTAGATTTAAATGTGGCATGTAAAAATCATAAACCTTTTAGAAAAACCACAGGAGAGAATATCTAGGGCTGGAAGAAGAGTCCTCAGACTTCACGCTCAAAGCCAGTCAAAAGGAAAGTTGATAAATTGGGCTTCCTCAGGATTAGCCACTTTTGCTCTGTGGAACGGCCATGTTAAGAAGATGAAAGGCAAGCTACAGAGTGAGAGAAAATATTTGCAAACCACGTATCCAACAAGGACCAGTACCTAGACTAGAGGAAGAACACTCAATAGCAAGGAAACAAAGCATCCAGTTAGAAAATGAACAGAAGAACTGAAAAGACGTTTCACCAGGAGAATGGACACATGACAGGTAAGCACACGAAAAGAGGGTCAACACCATCGGCCACCAGGGAAGCCCATAGCCAGACATCACTGCACACCTATCAGAACGACTGACATTAAAAACAGCGCCAACACGAAGTACTGGTGAGGATGCAGGGAAGGGCACTGGATCACTCACGCATGGCTGGGGAGACTGGAGAATGCCACAGGTGTTCTGGAAAACACTTCAGCAGTTTCTTAACGAACTCAACATGCAAGGAGCAGAGGACTGAGCACTTGCACTCGTGGCGGTCATACCAGAGAAATGAAGACTTCTCTTCACCCCAAAACCGGTATGTGTCTGTTCATAGCAGTGTTATTCATAAAGGTCAGAAACTCAGATCACCCAGAGGCCCTGCAATGGGCGAATGTTTGCACAGGCTGGGGTGCACCCATGCTGAGATACCACACTGCAATGAGAAGGAATCCATTATTAATACCTGCAGCAGGGTCAAGCACGGTGGCTCACGCCTGTGATCGCAGCAGTTTGGGAGGCCGAGGTGGGTGGATCAGCTGAGGTCAGGAGTTCGAGACAAGCCTGGCCAACATGGCGAAACCCTGTCTCTACTAAAAATACAAAACTTAGCCAGGTGTGGTGGTGCATGCCTGTAATCCCAGCTACTTGGGAGGCTGAGGCTCGAGAATCACTTGAACCTGGGAGTTGGAAGTTGCAGTGAGCTAAGATTCCACCACTGTACTCCAGCCTGGGCAACAGAGTGAGACACTATCTTTAAAAAAAAAAAAAGGCCAGGCGTGGTGGCTGGTGCCTATAATCCCAACACTCTGGGTGGCCAAGGCGGGTGGATCACGAGGTCAGGAGATCGAGACCCTCCTGGCTAACATGGTGAAACCCCGTCTCTACTAAAAATACAAAAAATTAGCCGGGCGAGGTGGCAGGTGCCTGTAGTCCCAGCTACTCGGGAGGCTGAGGCAGGAGAATGGCATGAACCCGGGAGGTGGAGCTTGCAGTGAGCCGAGAACATACCACTGCACTCCAACCTGGGCGACAGAGCGAGACTCCATCTCAAAAAAAAAAAAAAAAAAAAAAGTGCAACAACCTGGATGAGCCTCAAGTGGATTCTGCCGAGTGAAAAAAGCCACTCCCACGTATGTGATCCCCTGCTGTGCAACTCGTTCACATAACACTCTTCAAATACAGAAATGGAGAAAGACAATAGAAATTATCAAAATTATAGACATGGAGAAAGATTAGTGGTTACCATGGAGTTGGGCTAATGCGGCGAAGTGGGTGTGTCTGCGAAGGGCACCCAGTGGGGTCCTAGTGGCGGCTGAATTGTCCTGTCTCCTTCCTGTATCAATGTCAACCTCCTAGTTGTGGTACTATCATTTGGCAAGATGTTAGCCTTGGGGAGAGCCGGGCATGGGGCACACGGGGTGGATCTGTATCATTCTGTACAACTACATAGGAACCTACCATTATCTCAGAAGAAAATGCTTAATTTTTTTAAGCACCAGTAATAATGATGGATCTCAATGAAATATACCAAGATGTGAATGGCAGGTATTATGGTGAGATTTCGTTTTTTTCTTTTTCTTTTATTTGTTATTTGTATTTTATATTATTTTCTACCTTGAGAATACACTACCTTGTATTATAGTATTTTATTATGGTATATTATTTTCTACCTTGAGAATGTGTGGTTAGGAGGAAAAAGGACAAGTTATTTTAACCAAGGAAAATGTTTTAAGTAGTTAAATGTGCATCAGTGCAGCACTTAACAACAGAAACGCAAGGCCCCGAGAGCTGGCGCTTCACCCAGGGTGAGCAGATCATGGGTCCTGACTCTGGGTCACACATGCCTTTTCCTTCCCAGGATTAGCACAGTAAACCCGTCCCTCCGTGGAAGCAGCTCAGACTGGAGCACTTCCCCTCATTCCCCGCCCCACCCCGAGAGGCTGCCTTTAAACAGAGAGAACCACAAACAGCGAGCAGCCGCCTGGCTCCTGGACTTTGGAGAGCCTCAGTCTTCTAACCTGTCAAATGGGGAGAATGGAGCACCCTGCAGCCTCTTTCCTGGGGACCCCATAACAAATGACCTCATGCCGGGTGGCCTGAACCAATGCAGAGCTCCAAAGGACAATCCATTTGCACCTCCTCTATCTTCCGGGGCTCCCAGCACTCCTTGGCCCCTGGCAGAGTCACTCCCACCTTTGCCTCCACCTCCACGCAGCCTCCGTCTGTGCCCAAATCTCCCTCTCCTTTCTCTTACACAGATGCCTGTCGTTGGATTTAGGGCCCACCTTAATCCAGTATGACCTCATCTTAGCTAATGACACCTGTGAAGACCCTATTTCCGAATGAGGTCACATTCTGAGGTTCCTGGTAGACGTGAATTTTGGGGAGACACTGAGCAACCCAATTTACCATGTCTGGAGAAAGTTAAGTGAACAGAATTTACGTAAAAGTTTTCTATCAACTTTCAACATTTGGCTGGTATAAACTGAGAAGATAGCTAAGTGGTAGTAATCATGCTGTTTCCGTCATCACCACTAGGAAATGGTTTCCTCGTGTCCCTGGTACTGATGAGGGAGGAAGAGGGAAGGGGAGGAGAGGAGGAAGGGAGGGAGGGAGAATGTGATCATGAGCCGTAAAGTCGAGAAGTTTCTGTTTCCTTCACTCAATCCCCCACTCAGTGAGGAAAATGCAGTTATTGGAAGGTGGAAGGAGATGGTGGAGAGGCCTCTGTGGGTGACTCGGTGCCACACAGAAATGGTAGTTGGTGGGAGCTCTTCTCTGCACCCACCCTGCCCCATCTCAGCGTCACTCCTGGTACTGCATGGTCTGAGAAAGAGAAAATTAGGAACCGCAGTCTCCCAGAAGGGAAAATCCTGCTTGGTTTCTAGGCAGGCCGCTTAGGCACTTCCAGATGTGTGCCTCTCCCCTGCCGGAACCCTCCACGCTGTGTGAGGCCCCTCACCCTCCTGGCTCCATCGCTGTCACGGGCCTCAGAGGGTCTCCCCGGGGCCCTGACTGCCCCCTTGCTGCTCTCTGATGACACCCTTGGGCCTCTCCCTCTCCCTCTCTGCCACTGGGTGATTGTTCTGAAATGCCCCTGGGCCACAGCCCCTGGTTAAACCAACTGCCTTGGCCAGCCCTACACTCCAGGCAGAATCTCTAGGGCAGAACCAGGCCCGCTCCCCTGTGGGTCCCCAGAGCCCACTCATTTCAAGGAAAGGAGGGCGGGAATGAATGAATGAGTGAGTGAGTGATTGAGCCACTCTGGCCCCTCAGCTTCTAGGCCCACTCCTGAGTGGCTACGTGGTGTTCCCCTGCAGGGCGACGTCCTGACCACCAAGTACCAGGTGGACCTTGGGGATGGCTTCAAGGCCATGTACGTGAACCTTACACTGACCGGGGAGCCCATCCGGCACCGCTATGAGAGCCCCGGCATCTACCGCGTGTCCGTCAGGGCAGAGAACACGGCGGGCCACGATGAGGCAGTGCTCTTCGTCCAGGTCAACTGTAAGTTTATCGCCCCTTTGAGGCCGAGGGTCACTCCCTTTGAGACAGAGAACCTGGCTTTGGGGGAAACACAGGGACTCCCTCGGGACTGCTCTAGGTCCCTGGTGCTCAGGGTGGTGAACCCAAGGGCAGGGAGGCAGGGAGGCTGGGCTCAAACCCCCACCCCAATGACCCATACAATAGTAGGGCAGTGCTGGGAGCTGGCGGTGATGTTGATGATAGCGGTGGCAGTGGTGGTGGTGATGGTGGTAGTGGTGATACAGGTGGTGATGGTGGTGACAGTGGTGGTGATGGTGATGATGGTGATAGCAGTGCTGGTGGTGGTGGTGATGGTAGTCATGATGATTATAGTGGAGGTGGTAGTGATGATGGTGACATTGGTGGTGGTGTTGGTGATGGTGGTGATAATTGTGGTGAGGATAGTGATGATGGTAGTGATTGTGGTGGTGATGGTGGTGATGGCAGTGATGATGATGGTGGTGATACTGGTGGCAGTAGTGGTGGTGATGGTGGTGATGGTGGTGATAGGGTGGTGGTGATGGTGATGATGATGGTGGTGATAATTATTGTGAGGATGGTGCTGGTGGTGGTGATGGCAGTGATGATGATGATGGTGGAGGTGGTGGTGATAATGGTAGTGGTGTTGGTGATGGTGATGGTGGTGATGGTGATGATGGTGGTGATAGGGTGGTGGTGATGACGGTAACAGTAGTGGTTGGGATAGATGGTGGTGGTGGTGATAGTAATGGCAGGATGGATGGTGGTGATGGTGGTGATGGCGATGGTGGTGGTGATGGTACTGGTGGTGGTGATGGCAGTGATTATGGTGATGGTGATGGCAGTGATTATGGTGGTGGTGATGGCAGTGATTATGGTGGTGG